AGAGATAGAGCGTTTCTAAGTGTTTTTTGTGATCAATGGGAATCCACAGATTCCGCCAATATATGATAATAAGCTGTAGCAGAAATATTTTTGGAGATATATAAAAAAAAATTTTGCAAAATTTTAACCACGTTTTCTAGCTAAACTAGAAAAGATAGAGCGATTCTAAGTGTTTTTTATATTCACTAGGAGCTCAGAGAAATAATACTGTTCTAAGTTCTTGAAAATTAGTATATTTGTAATTAGTATATTTCGAGCCTGGCTCCAGTCATAGCTGTGAACATTTACAGCAAATGGGAAAGAAATTTTCATTTTCACTCTTACCACCCACTATAGTTTCTACAATATTTGTATTCATATAGGAATACGTATTATAGCTGCGGTTTATTTCCCACTGGCCAATGATCAAGAAAATATTATTAATAAAGTATTTATATCCCAGAATCAAACTTATATTTTTTTTTAGTATTGTAAATGGAAAGTTAAATTTTATTATACAAATAGTTCCGTATCCGGATTAAAAATAATCTATAAATTTTCTAATTCATTTAAAATCTATGGATTAAAATATATAGTCAAACGAAGATAATTGTTACCACAGTTAAGATTTTTTTCAAATTTTTTTTTTTTGTTAACAAAATTTTTAATATAATCAAGCGGAAAATATTATAATTCCTCCCACAAAAATATTAATGCGTTATTTGGGCGACTTATTATATGTTAATTATTTAGGATTATATATTAATCATGTATATATATATACATATAACCCCTAATATCATACATACTAGTAAATTAATTTTTTATCTTTAAACAAGAAAACAAAAAAATATCCTTGAATATTTGTTTATGAAAATGACATTTTTATTACTTTTAATCACATATACATACATATGTATATATTTAATAACGTTATATTTAAATCACTGATATTGTTATATAATAATTCTTAACACACTTATATCCTTACATATATGCATATGTATTAGGAAAATTGAATTAATTTATAATCAAGGCAAAACAAACAAGAACGAAATCCGATGTATTATCGATATATTTATCAGCTTTTATAATGCGCCCTTAAGCAATTTTCATATATCATATATATATATTATTTTATAAAAGAAAATAAAAAACAGACAGACATACTTATTATGTGTGTACATTCCTATGTCGTTTTTATAACACATTATAAGAAATTTCAACCTCTTAATAACAATATAGTTAAATGTATAATAGTTAAGTAAATATACACTATGTATACTTATGGACTTATTTCTTATACAAAAAAATATGTATGTACTATCTATATGTGTGTATGTATATAATAAAAACATACTTTATTAAATAGTCAGCATAATTCTTTTAAAAGAGCATATTTTGGTACTTAGTTATACAGCCTTAGAATTATCATCAATTTATTATATTATTATTATTATGCTCTTTTCTATACATACATGCACACAAACACACCATACATAATGTATATTTACAGATATATTTACAAGAAAGAAGAAAACAAAAATTAAAATATCAAAAATCAAAAAGGGTGTTTCATTTTTATTGAAGCAACAATAGGGTTTTTAAGAAAGAATAATATAAAAACCAAAGAGATTTTTTAAATATCCCCAAGGTATATTTTAGATTTAAAAAAAAAAAAAAAAAAAAATTAAAAAAAACAAATTGGTTTTTTTTTTCTCTTACATATATAGTTTCTAAAAATATACAAAAATGAGAATGTATAGCATACACATGCATACATATATACCGAAAAAATGAACTAATTTTCTAAATTGAAAATTGTTTATAACACCATCAGCCCTCGTTTGTACAAAAAAAAAAAATTTCATACTAAAATATTTTTCTTTTCTTTATATATATAGTCCACTTATCATATTAGGGTAAGATTGTATTGTATTTTATTGTGTATATTTGTATGTACGAGTATATATTGTAAAATATTTTATAATATTACCTAAATGGAATATTTATATTGGCGTATATACTATGAATATCAAAAAAAATAGCTCACTAAGAAATTTTCTATGATTTGACAGCACCTATGTATAAAGGAACTGTTTTTCGTCCTCATTATTTGATTTATGAACTACTTAGCAAATATATAAAGGTAATCATAAATATCGAACCCATTTAATATGTTTTTAAATTAAGTCGTAGAAAATTTTGTTATGTCATCTGACACCGATTGTATTGCATCTAAGAAAAACAATATTAAACTTATGCAATTGATGATATTCTAGTGGAAATATGCAAAGAAGTAAAAGTAAATTCAAATGGATCACCAAAAACGCTGTAGTGTGATCAAGGTCATATCTAACATCAACTTGACTTATTTATCAATACTGTTTTAATTACTGAATAAGTCGATTTGACGTCAGATCTTTAATTTGGTAGACGTCGCAACCTATAATAAGCATCGTTTTATAACAAAACCCTTAAAATTACTCTTTTATAGTTTTTAATATTTTAATTAAAACTACAAATCGATAATTAATTGAAATATTTATGTACAATAATATTTAAATACGCAATTCCTGAGTTAAGAGTTGAAAAGGGAATAGACGTCTGTTAAACGAACGTAATACATTACTATATATTATGAGAGAATAACATTGAGTAGAGAAATTTTTAATGAGCAGTTAATTTTGACACTCACAGTATATGCAAACATATTGTAAACTCAAAAAATTTTATACAAAACAATTTATACGCTAAGGTATAGTTTGTATATTTTTGTGTTAGATTAATTTTATTTACACGCTTGCGGTTAAATATGTACATAAGAAAGCCTTATTATTTAAACATTTTATTTTCTTATTATAATAAAATTTATTTAAAAATTGGTAGTTAGGTATTTCTTAAGTAAATTTTCTTTTACTTTTATAAAAATCTTGATACACTTTTTCAAAAATAAATAAAAATTTTATTTACGTATATGTATATAGTTTAAATTCATATATGAATTTATATTAAATAATTTGTATAACAAAATTTTCGTATTATACAATTCAATTTATACGATTTTTTTGTGAAACTTGTACAAAAGATGCAACCTTCACATTTGGCGACATTAATAAAAAATTGTTAACTTTTAGCTCTTACCACCAAATTTTTTGCATTCTTTCTTCACCGCCCGATAACTCAACCGCAATGTTATACTTATGTCGGACTCGTCAGCTCTACAATGTTTAAACTAATTTCGGGCAAGTATTTGCTTATATTTCCGGAATTTTAGTCTTTTTTTTAAATACTCACTTAATATACATTTTACAAGTGTGCATATTGCTTGGTTAATGTAAATGAGTAGCCGTAAGAGAGAGAATAATTTAGTTTTGCCTCAATAAGTTATTTTTCACCTTGTTAAAAATTATTTACAACGAATGTTTTTTAACTAAGGAATTTTGGCATAATTTAAAGCACAACTTATATGTTAAAATAATATCTTATATCTTTTGGTATTATCGTTATATTTTGCAACTTATACTGTTTCTTTGATTCAAAAAAATTAATTTTTTTTTCGTAATTACACTATTTATTCATATTTTTATTAGAAAATTCTTTCATCCTATATAACAATTTTCATAACAATCGTAAATTTATTTGCAAACATACATACCCATACACTTACATACGGATATTCCAATGTGACTACTCCGTATTGTCAAAAACAAGGTGCTGAAACAACAAATTTAAACTGTTTTTAAATTCAAAACTAGATAAACAGTGGCAATGCATTGTCAAAAAAAAAAAAACATAATTTTTTTTTACATTTCGGGATGCAAATATTGATTGTTTTGACGTTAATTCTAATTTTGCAAAAAGTATTAAGAATTTTTTGATTCCACCATTTGTTTTTCGCTACTTTTCGAAAACGTACTTTTTACAATTCCAAAATACGTAATATTGCAAAATTTTTGTTAAAATAAAATACGGAACGTGATACATCAAAGTTTGCGCTCTTTTTCATAACATTTTTAATAAATAATTACGAACTTTAAATTTTTTACGAAATTCGGAAAAAATTTATGGTATGCGATAGCAAACATATAAATTACAAAAATTAATAATCCAATTACTGTTCACTTTATCACCAAGATTAGGGTAGTGACTTTGCAATGCTTATATTTGCGGCCGAGTTTTTGGCACATACTGTATCTCATGGGTGCCATATATTATTTCCTTACTGTCACTACAAGGAAACACACCTTGATTTCCTTCGGTGGTTCCAGACAGTTCAAAGTTATTTGAATTAAGCCCGAGTACACTCCCTTGGTGCATTATATGTTTAAAAATAAATTTCAAAATACACTCATTAATCATGATTACCTCATTAATCCTTAAACTACGACACATCATTTTAATTTCGTAAATTAGTATGTATAATTTCATACGATTTCATTACAAATTCATTTTATTATTTTTATAATTAAATTAATTAATATTAAAATATTCAAATATTAATATTCATATTTAAACTTTTAAATATAGCCATTTTTAAAATTTAAAATTTTTCTTTATATTTTTTAATTCCAAAAAAAAGGAGGACACTCTTATTATAATGAATATAAATAATAAATTTATTAATTTTTTATAATTTAAATTGAATTATGTTAACTAAAATAAAAATCGTTAATATTACATAATCATAATGACCGAAAAAATTAACATTTTTATTATTTTTTAAAATACTTTTCATTCCTCTACATTTTCATATACGTTATTAAAAAAATAGTTGTGCGAACTCACAAATTTTTAATAATAAAAACTGAAATTAAAATTTTATATTAATTTAAGTTTTTACTGAAATATTAAATAATTTAAAAGATTATTTATGATTCTCATGAAAAATTATTATAATTAACATAAAACAAAATAATATTTAATTATAAAAATAAAAAAAAAAACAAGATTAATTTTCATAAATTCCTTCATTGTATACCATATATAATAAATAATATTTTGTTATTATTCATTTATAGGTGTGGTTTAAAAATCGTCGAGCAAAATGGCGTAAACAGAAACGAGAGGAACAAGAACGATTACGTAAATTACAAGAGGAACAATGTAATGGAAATTCATCGAATGGTGGTAGTGGTGGTAATGGTATTAGCAGTGCTAATAGTAGTAATACTACACATAATGATAGAATACAATGTACATCAAATGAATTTTCATCAGATCATCAAATTCATCTTAAAACAGATCCAATTACATATAGTGATGAAGAGGAATCATCTGATTTAGAAGTAGCCTAATATAAATATATATTATTCTCTTAAAATATATAATTACATAATACAATAATAATAATGAAGTCATATACTATATATATATATATATATATATGTATAATATATATTATATAAATAAAAAAAAAAAATAAAAAAATTTAATTATAAAGATATATAATAAATGTATATACATACATTAATATATAACATAATAAAAAAATTTTCGAAATTATTGGAATCCAATTTTATACATACTATATAGACACATTCGTATAAATACATAAAAAAAATAATAATATATATAATATATACCTAAAAATAAATAAAATTGAAATCCTCTCGTATACATAATAAATGATTAAAATAATAAATTTAAATGGTATACAGGCATTAAAAATATTCTGTTTTTTTGTTTTGATATTATTCAATAGGCAAATAATCAATTATTATATTAAAAACAAAAATAAATAATTAAGAAAACATAATATTATAAATTATTTATTTGGATTAATTACTTTAAAATGATAATGAAAATTTTGTTCTCATTCAAATTCAACTTATTTTGTTATTTATATATAAATTATTTAAACACACAAATACAAAAATACATTTGCATTGTATAACATAAAAAAAAATATTATATTACAAATGGTATAATAATTGTATAGATATAATATTCATGCATACATAAACACAATTTGTACAGTTAATGACAAAAAATATGGTGTGTGATGTAAGGTGCACCTGTTTTTTCCTTTTTTGTACATTCTATCCCTATCCCATAATATATATATGTATGTATACATATATATATCTTATTATATCATCAGTTTTAGAACATAAGAACATTTTTTTTATATATATACGTTAGAGAAGTTATAGAGGATTTCCGAAAATTGAGTTCTAATTTAGATCTTAATATAAAGCATATTCGATAAATCTAAATTATTTGTAGTTTCTATAGATCCTATAATGATCTAAAAAAAAGATTTTTCAGTTTCTTTAAGTTAGAACTTTAAGTGGATGTCTGTCTGAATTATCGAAAATTCCCACAAATTGGCATTACTACACACTATCAACGGCAAAAAAAAGAAGTATGTTCGAAAATTAAAGACTTTTTTCGCAGTTTTTCGAATATATTTGTTGAACGTAAAGTTTTTTAAAAAAATTTTTTTGTAATTTTCGGAACTTTTATGTAATGATTTATGTTCCAAGAATTTAATTTTTTTTTAATGTTTGATATATTAGAAGAATATTTGAATTAAGTAAATATTAATTTTTAACTTAAAGGTGTTTCCAACTAAAATTTTTCTAATAATTTTGTTTTAAAAAATTTTTTTTTTCGCATTTCCTCCAAAAATTACAATCACATATACACAATCTTTTTTTAACGATGAAATATTTTTTTAGTAATATAAAAGCTTTTGCAGTTTTTTAAGAAAAATATAGCTAACTTAGTTCTTAATTGAGGAAATTTTGATAAAGTCAATTTTATATGAGCACAAGAAGAAGAATACTTTATTTCTTTTGTAAACGTAGGTACATATTTGTGTGCATTAATAATGTACAGTAGTAAAAATATTTAAAAAAAAATAATAATTTTCGATCATTGTTTTTTAACATCTTCTTTACTATAAAAACTCATAATTAAGGCTAAGACTCAGAGCGTCCAATCTATTTGAGTCAAATTTAAAATATGGAAATTGACATTTCGTAAATTGACATGAATATCAATTTTTTATATAATATGAGGCATTGAATTAAGCTCAAATGTAAAGTATATACATAATAATGTATTACACATTTGTCAATAACTGTACATATTGTATGTACAACTTGTTGTGTTGATGCGGCATTTTATATAAATTTAAGTTATGTTAATGCAATAAATAATAAAAATAATAGAACTATGAAATTTTTAATTAAAAAAAAACAAAATTGATAATGAAATTAAAAGTGTGTACATTTTTTTTTCACCTTTCTTTTTATATTTTATTTTATATTTATGTATTAGTTTAAATATGCTTATGTAAATATGTAACTTTTAAATTAAATAATTAACTATATGAATCTTGCAATTTTCAAATAAAATATACTGTTAAAATTATAACTATAGTAAAAATAAGTAGGCATATATATCTTATATTGAGAGTAATTAATTTTAGTAATTTGTAAATATATATATAGTTATACATTATATTATATAATAGAATTTAAAAAAAAAAAAATATCGTAAATACCGTGATAGATGTAATTTTATTTAATTTCAATAAAGATGTTATATGTATACACATTTTTTTAATTTAAATTCACTTCAAATTTCTAGTATCTACTTTTCTTTGCTTTAATTTTCTCGTAAATTGTTTAAATATGTGTGTACATAATAAGTATATGCATATATATATAAGTATTAAATGTTATGTTTTAATATTGTTTAAAATTTAGGCGACATTCTTCGAATGGGGAAAGCTGTTAATTGAATGTCTGGTATTCAAAAATACGTTCCAGTAACTGCGACTAAAATGTAAATATTTTTGTATAAGAAACAAGAAGTGGATTTTAGCTCAGTTAAATGTAAATAGCTTTAAAAATGCTAACATATGTTTACTTTTGTACATTTGCTGATTTTTCGTTTAAATAACGATTTGTCATATAAACCGATAAAATAATTTCAAAAACAATAAAATCATATAAAAAGTTTTCGAAACTTTGAATATAATATTTACAAAAATATATTATATTATGTATGTATGTACATACATAATATAAAAACAAAATAAACAAACAAATTCGAAATATCATAAAAATTAATAATTGATTTAAAAATTGACAAGCGTTAAAGTAAAAAATAATTAAATTGGCACCAGTGTTCATCAGTGTTTGTTAATTTTATACTACCATATTATTCCAAAGCTATTTATATTACTTTTTTGCATTAATAGGTACTAGCGAATGCTATGCATTTGTCTAACGTTGAAATTTCATATTATTAAAAATTCGCATTTGTCATTTTTAATATGAAGTATAAACGCTCAGTTTTGAAAACATTAAGGCAAGTTTACTTAAGTTCGTTTTGAATATAATTGCATAAAGTCATAAAAAAAAGTTTACAAAGCTAAAAAATATAAAAAAAGTGTACTCCACTTAATTTATATTCTAAACATAAATATACTTCGTTCCACCCCTTCTTTTATTGTTTTTAAAATTAAAAAAATTACGAAAAGATATAATTATTTTTTTAAACGATGTTTGGCTTGAAATCAATTTTAAGCAAATAATTTATTTAGTTAGCCGTCTTACTTTTTGTTTGGTGTTAATGATAAGATAACCCCACATTACCACGCTAAAGCTGCTCGTACTTCTGAAAATAACAACACTGATTGGCACTTGTGCAAAAATTTATTTATTTTTTTTTGTAAATATTTTCTTACGATTTAATCTTTTTCTACTTTCATTATTATTTTTTATAAACAAGAACTCACACACCACAATATCAAAAATATAAAAAAACATACAATAAAAAATGTCAAATTAAAACCGAGTCAAAACTTTTCTTCAAAGATACTGTTCACAGGTCAGAATTATCATTAAATAATAAAAAAATAATGATTATAAATAATAAAATAAAAATTATAATGCTGCAGTAAATGAGGTTAAATTTTTATTTTTAAACTAGTTGGGAGACCTTGTGTTTTTTTTTATCTTTAACTCATGAATACGTTCCACTCCCGTTCCACAAAACCTATTAAATCAAAAATATTAGTTTCAAAAGAATTGCGTATAATTGTTTTCAAGCAATATAATAGAATAGAGGAATGTAAAATTTAAATCTATTTTCGTAAACCTAACTTAATTTAGTATGTAAGTATAAATTTTAAATATTACGCCTTTTCCAAATAATCTTCGTTTTCAGTATGTATGACGAACTAAATAAATAATTTCAATGATATTAGAAATACAATAATTTCTAATGTCATCAATAATATATTATGAATTTTATAATGAGCATTTGACAGCAACTGTTGACTATTATATGTGTACCACTTTGTTATTTAAGCATTTTTCTAGATTGAATTAGGTTTCAGTTAGATTGAGTTTTTAAATACAATCAAAAGCTATTTCTATTTAATTACGAGGTGACGATAATTAAACGGCAATTTATTTATTGTTGTAAAAAAAAAACGAGCGCTGTATTTAAGATTGCAAACCATAACAAATTTGCAGCGATATATTCATACTTAATTCAACTTACGGGGACATACTTCCTGAATAGTGTGGAAACACTGTTTTATCATAACACTGCAATTTGAAAATCAACTAATTTTTATTAAGTGTTATCAGTAACACGACACTTTTTAACAAATATAACCATTTTTTGTCTTCACAGTTTTTATGTCGTGCATTTTGAGTTTTTCTTTTAATACATTTTGAAAGAGGGGAGAAAGTTAAATTGTTGATTTTATACTATTTAATATAGGTATCCACAACATATACATAGATAGAAAACATCCACAAGAAACGACACTAGTAACTTGAATTTCTTATTTGTGATATGTGTCCAAACGCTTATCGTTATTGTTAATATTAAAGAAGCACAATTTAATATTAATCACTATCTAACAAATATTTGAAATAACAATTTTTTTAAAATTTAGGGTTTCTCATTTTTAATCAATGTTTAAGTCAATATGTTATGAAGACAGTAAAATGTTGATTGAAAGTAACACTACTTATTAAGAAACTTCAAAAATTATATTGGTGTATACTGCATGAAAGTTCAAAACGGAACTACACCATACATATGCGTACATATTCCATTTATTCGGAGTAGCGTTCTGTTTAGAGTATTATAAGAAATTGAATTACAATTAAAAAGTAGACACGATTTGAACTGCTGATTCTGTTAAAAATAGTCAATATGAAAAATACCTAATAAAGATTGAATATTTTATAATGAAGTATTTCATTGGTTATAAAATAATTTAAATTTATAATTAATACATATTAAATACTTTATTGTAAATTAAAATACAAGTACATACAATTAAAGGTTATAAAGCTACATAAAAACTTCTGCATAAAAACTTAAAATTTTATTAATTTTGAAATTTATTTAAATGCAAACATATCTACATACATAATTTTTTGATTGAAGTTTAGTACGTAAGTATTATAACTGCTGTCATCAACGTCACTTTTCTACATTTTGCGGATTTTTGTGTTTCGGGTCGGCAATTGTCAGTTGTTTTGATTATTGATATGAAAAAAAAATTGTGAGCTAGGAATAGTTGCGACCATATAAGAGAAATAATTACAATTTTTGATTTTGTTATAACAAAAATTTCTATCATAATGAAAATTAAAAATATGTTATTCAAAAACGTTTCGAAGAAAATTATTGTAGGATAAAATTGGCTTAAATATTACTAAGTTTACAACTTTAAAATGATAAAAAAATGTGAAAAATGTTAAATAAGCGCGATGACTTTTCCATATTTAATCAACTATAGAAATAATTTTTAAATAAATATATTTCGCATTATTTTTGAAATTGTTATTAAATTTAAATTTAACTTATGTAAAAGAAAAAGACTGATTGGTATCGCCTTGATTTTAATTTGTTATAAGTGGAAGAAAATATCTGTTCTATTTTAAGATTAAAAATAAAAAAAAATATATACTCATCAAATATAATAAAAAAGCAATACAATTTTTTAAAATTATTAAGGAAGCCTATCTTTAAGAAAGAATGGAAGTTGATTTACCAAATATATTAAAACGCTGTTCAAGTGCACCGGTATTTGCAGAAGAAAATGGTCCTATTTCTAATAAAAACGAAAACGTAGATGTAACATCAAGCAAACTTAATCACTATGAAAAACAATCATCTGAGAACTCCATTTCGACAGTTCAAAATAATCTAATACAGGAAAAAATTATCAGTTCTTTGTCTGAAAAAAATAATGCCAACATATACACAAACAGCTATTTAAATTTATCACCGTCAATTCAATCAAGCAGTGCTTGCAGCTCCCCGGTTAGGAGGTAATCACAGAATCATTTATTTGAACTATTGTCATTTTCAAGATAAACAACATTAATTTTTTTTATTATCAGTCGTGAAGCCTCGCCAGCTCCATTTAATATCTTTGCTCCTAGAGCTCGAAGATATTCTGCTAGTTTTGCTGGATCAATTGCTAACAACGGAGCTAATGGACCACGTCTAACACCTCGGGTATCTCAACTTAGGCAAGAAGAGTGTGTTGATGCAAATAGTAGGGAAGTAAATCACGAACGCGAAGTTCACAGCGCAATGCAAATGTCTCAAAGTTGGGAAGATTTAACGTTAGTAGCAGAGAATTGGTCATGTAAATCAGAAGACTCAAATAATCCATTGCCTGCTAATAACTTTCTAACGAGCCGCCAATGTTCAAGTCCTAGTCCAACCAGGTAAATATACGAAAATTGAGATACTTATTATTGTTTTTCGAAATATTCAAAATATATGTACATTTTGAAGTCGAACTGGAATGAAAATTAATTTACTTTCACCATCACCCACAAGACGCACTTTTGCGACGAGAAGATCTATGTCTCCAATAGCAATGCGACCAAGTCAATTGGGTCCAGTAAAAAGAAAATTTGAACTTGAAGATGGAAATTGGAATATTAATTATTCCCCTCCACCAGCTAAAAAAAAATTATCTCATGTGTAAGACAATTTCTATTTTTTTTTAAATCCGTTTATATTTTTATTGCACACTAAAATAAGAAAATTTTAGCGGTTGCGGCAGTCCTTCCGAAGTATTCAATTTACCTTCTCCTTGCCAAAATGGTCAAATGGATTCCGGAACTCCAGATGGTTGTCCCACCTTTAAATTAAATATTAAACTTCATGCCAATGATGTTGATATAACACAACCCATCTCTTCCCCAACAATTCCACCTTTCAACGAAAATTCAGAAGCAGGTATTATTTCTGTATTATTTTAAAAAAATAAGATTCTGTTATTTTTTGTTTTAATTTTTTAGAAACGGTTTCGCCAACCAATCCGATTAATCATTTCGGAAATATAAATAAAACTAATGGCGTTTTCAAAAATGAAAAAGATGATAAGTCTCAAAATGACAAAAATGAAGATGCCGAAACGTTTGAAAACAACATAAATTTTATTGGTGGAGCCGATTTAGACCATTCATCAATATGTTCTAGAAGTGATAATCGTAAGAACACTTTGTTGAACACTGTTTCAAAAGAAAAAGATTAAGAAGTACTTGTAGCTTAGACAATCGGTATAAAATTTAGTGAAAGTGACATAAAGAAAGTGAAACAAATCCAAAACTAGGAAATAATTTTATTATATTAAAAATATTAAAATTTATAATTTATGTGTAGATATATAAAAAATTAGAAAAGATGAAATTAAATGAAAAGCCATGTTATGAATTGAATCCTTAAAAAAAACATAACTAATTCGGTTTACTAACCTTAAAAAATTTAATATTTATAATCTAGAACCGAGAATTAAGCATCAAAAATAATTTATTCTGTTTGAATACCCAACTGTATATGTACATACATCATTTATTAAAAATGAATAAGAACTTTTACAAACATTTCAATATTTTGAAATCGTAAAATCACGTAACGTGAAACTACATACGTTTAAATATAATGAATAGAAAATAAAACATAACATATTTCGGAAGTTCAATTTTATTTTTTATATTTTGAGCCATTATTTTTGGACTAAAATTACAGATCAAAATTTTAATGTGATTTTTTTTTAGATAAGGTAGAACACGTTCAACATATACTCGGCTGATTCACAGACTTTTGTGAAGGTTTTTGGATAGGCAGGAATAATTTAAACTCAGGGGGTAACTCATCTTCAGCATAAAGTCGATCAGAAAAATAAACTCTTCTTATTCTGCAATTTGCATGTATTTGTACTCGTAAAGTCTCAACATAATTAGTTCCATAAGCTCTCCTTGTGAAATCCGACAAATTAAACTGTAAAATTTGATGCATTAGATAATCTCAGTACCTACATACATAATTTTTAAAAATTTAGAATGTCAAACCTGAATTTGATTCCATCCTTCATCTAATCGCATTGGCATTGTACAAATGAAAGGTTTAACTCTTGTTGTAGATTGATAGTTGCTAGCCCTAAATCGTCGCCTTACATTTTTATCATCAAGAACCTAAAGATATGTAGTAATTCGGTTTGGTTTACAAAATTTCAAATTTAAAAAATTTAAAACGTTTTTATAAAAGAGGAAATAATAATATTATTGGTATTATGTTTTACTTCACTAATAAATTAAGAGATTTATATACATATATACATACTTATAAAAGTTAGGTTTGAAGCTACTAATTACCACGGGGTTTACATTTTCAATAGTAGCTAATACAAACTCGACTTTAAATAAAATTTTAATTATATTACTCACCTGGACTTCAAAAGTAAAATACTTTTTTAAGTTTTTTATTATCATCACTAAAAACGGAAGTTTTATTCCAAGAGTTTTTTTGGGATCAGCTGGACATGTTATGAATGTTGTTGAAACCTAAATCAAAATATTAGCTTATATTTCATATACCACCAATATATGTCTTAATATAAAAATTAAATTTTTTGTCTTACGTTCGTCCCAACAATTTCCAAAACTAAGCTTTGAATATCATTGTCCGTAATTCGTTTAATATGCCCATTTCTAACTTTTTTATCCCAAATTTGTAATGGTTTACTTCCTATGCTGTATAATATTGATAAAAAACCAGATTGAAATGTGTTTTTAAACATTATGAAATTTAACTACTGTATGAAAGCAACTTTTTGTACAAAAACGAAAGAATATTAGTACTTTTAATACTTTTTTATTAATTTTTATTTTCTATGACATTTTGTTTATTCATTACAGGCATTAATGTCCAATTCATGTGGAAAAAAAGTTGCTTAGCAACGTTAAATGTCATAATTGTCATTATTGACAGTAACTGCGTTTACTCAACACCTAAAGTGTGCAAATTAGCCTAGCTTACACGGACAGGTCAGTAATTAAGGTAAATAAAAATTTTATTTCAATTGCCGAATAACTACATTATTATAAATGAAATATTATTTATTAAATGCATATTTTTAATTTAATAACAATCGCAATAATTTTTTAGTGAATGCCTTTTATAAACAAAAACGGAAAATAAATAGATTTGCTTCGTTTTTCCTCAGTAAATTTTATTATTTAACTTTTTGACAACTCGTTTAATTTTAAGATTATACGTTTTGCCAATATGTTAGAAATATAGAATTTTTCTGAGAAGGCTTACCTGCAGTTTACTATAGTTATGTCACTCCTGAAAAATACATCCAATTTTACATAACTCCAGGCAAAGTCTTTTAAACAAGTTTTACATGAACGATTTTCATCAGACTTAGATTAAATTGTCGTATATTACTTTGTTTATATAACAGATCGAGTACTTGACTTCAAACATCAATCTGCGTATATACTGTACAGATTGAAAGAATATTACTTGAAACCGACTTAAGTTTGACATTAGCTGACAAGCTACAGCTACCTTGTATTATATCAATTTGTTATTTTCAAGTTAACATTTGTTAAATCAAGCTAATAATTTTATCGGATAGACTTGATTTAAAGTTTCAAGTCCAATAGTGTTTGTATAAGCTTGAAATTCGTTTGAAATCGGTTTTAAGCCTCACATGAACGCTGTATATGTAAAAAAAACCAAGAGAAACTGACACCAAAAATTATAAAACGGTAACACATTTTCTTTCATTACTAGCGATTACCAACATTGATCGAAAGTAATTCAGACTACCGCAATAATCGTTTATTTTACCGATTTTTGTTAAAATAACTAAATGATCAACACGTTTACCACCACTGGTTTCTTAACTGTTCTATTCTAGTTAAACATGCGCAACATATTATTTCTGTCTGGGACAAAACTTGCAAAAACTTTAAAAAGAGAAACAATAGCGAAATTTCTTTCAAAAAGAAAAAAAATTCTCACTTAAAAAAAAATAAAGCAGACAGAAAACTTGAAAAAAACTTTTAAAAACTTTATAAATAGGTGATAAACGTTAAATTTCAAAGCATTTATCAAACATAAACAAATCTTTTTTGGTTATACCAAAAATCAATTTTGATTTTGGATTATAAAACTGTGAAACTTACGAAAAACCATTTATGAACCCATTTTGGTTATTTTATTTTTAATTGAAAAGTTTTGAAAAAAAAGTTATTGTTGATGAAAAATTTTTTTCAGAAAAAAAACCTTCAGACATAACCAAAAAAAAACATATGTTTCGACTTACAGCTGTCGAAAAGTTTTAAAACACTAAATTTTACTTTACAAAACTTGAAAAAATTTTAAACATTGAAAAAATGAGAATATCATTTTCTCTTATTTTTGTTCAAAAAGTATCATCCCAAACAGTTTGCATATAAAAACTTTCTTATCCCAGACAGACCTATTATATACATTCATATGTACACATTTAAATCCAGTAACCGTTTAGATACCGTTTTCGTTCACACTCATCTCTAAAATTTTTCACATTAATTCCTGGTAGCAATTTTATTGTGAATTTAACAATGTCAGCCATCGGTTGTTTGCAAAGGTTGTAGGCTTGGCAAAATAATTTTATTATTCATCACCTTTTTGGAGAAAGGTAAATACTTGAATTAGCATTACTGTAAACATACATATGTACTTAGTATGCTGCACGATACTAAAGTTGAGAAAAATGGGGAAAGGTTAATAAACTATCTTAGTAGCGGTTTTTTAAGGAAAAAATATCGTTATGAATTGAAATTAAATTCAAATAAAAATATTAGTCTGTAAAAAATGTCTAAGTAGGTACTTTATTTACTGGAAATCAATAATCAAATATTAACACATTAACACATAAATACGTTAAAAATAATTTTAAAATTAGCAGACTTAAAAATTATATTTTAATTACTAAGTTAAAATAATATTATTTTTATGTACATATGTATATTTAAATTAAAATAAAACAGAAATGATATCTATAGAATATAACAAAATTTGAAGAACATAAATAATACAAATTTAAAAGCAAAAATACCGTGCACACAATATATTGTAAGTATGCACCTATTTTAAAATATTTACTTAAAGAAGTTACATATTATATATACATACACATTATATACATACATACAATTAATAATTATGAAGAATCACATAACACATAATCTGTGTTCTTTTGCTCCTGTAACATTTTTGAAAATAGGGAATTCGGATTAGATGCCAATTCTGCTGGTTTACCTTCTTCAGCAATTTTTCCAGAATCCATTACTATAATTCTATCAACATTTTGAAGACCTTTCAAACGATGAGCAATTAAAAATACTGTAGAGCTTCTAAACGAATATTTAAGTGCAATTTGAATTGCAGCTTCCGAATCTGTATCCAAATTCGATGTACCTTCATCAATGCAAACGATCTAAAAAATTAGTTGAATGTTTTCAATCAAGAGAATATTTGTAAAATGGTTTTATTGAAGTAAACCTCACCTGTGAACTTTTTAATAAAGCTCTAGTTAAGCATAAAAGCTGCTTTTGCCCTGCAGACAAATTACTTCCGTTTTTTTCCAAATAGCCACTTAAGCCACCCAGTGATTGAACCAAAGGTGTGGCTAGGCAAGCTGTAATGGCATTCCACAACTCAGAATCTAGAAATTTTTTTCTTGGATCCAAATTTTCACGAACTGTTCCTAAAGAAATGTATATATTTTGTTATATATGTACAATAGAATCCACAATTATTTAAACAACACATTGTCAAATATCCAACTTAAGGTCCCAATTACTAGATAGTGCAATTTTTAATAAATTTCATTTAAAATAATTTTGATGTGATAAAATGTATTGGGAATAAACTTCGAGTTCAATCCATTTAAAACTACATAAGTCATTTCCATTTCAAGTTAGAAATTCAAAATATATATGTATATACAACGTGTTGTCTAAATATCTGCTGACTTAACGTACCCTCAAATAAAAATGGTTCTTGAGAAATTACTGCAATTCTATCTCTTAAAACATGTAAAGCCAAAGTTTTAAGGTTAACACAGTCTAATACAATTTCCCCACAAGCTAAAGGCGCAACTCTTAGAAGTGCTGATAAAATAGAAGTTTTCCCTGCCCCAGTACGTCCTACAACAGCAATTCGTTCAAAAGCCTCTGTTCTCAAATTAAAATTTTCAAGTGCTGGCGTTAAGTGTTCACGGTATTTAAAATATACGTTATTAAACTGAAGGGCACCTTGGCTGGGCCATCCAAACGGAGGATCAATAGAACCATCAGCGTTATCTTCCTTTTCCAATTCTAAATATTGACTAACCCGTTCAACAGCAACAAACTCCTGCTCTGTTTCAGCAAAAGCATTTAATACTCCACCTAATAAGCCGGTTATTGAAAGTGAATACGAAATTGCCAATCCCACAAGACTGGGATAGGCATAATGAGCCGAAGTTAGGGTGGCTAACAAACCAGCGCCACCAACAAGAAATGAACCCAAAAGTTGTAATCGAAAAGCAAGCCACTGTTGGGCAGCTGTAGATGACAGTTGAGCTTTAATACTTTCTTCTAATTTCACATGAAAATCACGCTGAAAACGAGTGCTAGCTCTCATAGCTCTTATTGTCATTAAACCTTGTAAAGTTTCAGTAAAATGAGTGTAAATTGGTGATAAAGCATTACTTGAAAGTCTTTTTATGTCGCGGGATGCATATCTATAACGATATTGCAAACTGTAATAAATTGGAACCATTGGAATGATTACTAATCCAAGCCATGGCATAGCATATAATGTAATAAAAATTGCACCTATTAAAAAAAAAAAATAATTTATTAAGTTTCGTTAAACTTTTATGTAATTACCAGCTAGTCCAACAACTTGAGCCAAAAATATATTTAATATGAATGGTAGTGAATCATCAATCGTATACGTATCTGAAGAGAAACGGTTTAATATTCTCCCAACTGAAGTAATGTCAAAGAACTTGAATTTGGTCTATTTAAAAAAAAAAATGTAAATTCAAGATAATTGCGTTTAATAAAAACTTGTTAACTAATACTCACGTATAAAACACGATTCAATAACGTATTATGAATAAACTTAGCTGCTCTTAGACCAGCGAAAGCCTAAAATAAATTATTGAAAGCATAAAACCATAAACTTATGCTCATTAAAAATAAACTCACAAAAACAAAGGCTCTAATCAGAGTGATAAGAGAGTTAGTTACAGCTAATGAAGCGTAAATTCCTAAATAAAAACCTAGCGAATTTATTGTACTATTGTTTTGGATATTTTCTTTAAACACGTTATCAACATTCCGAATCATGTCTGCCGAATTGTCTGATGAAAAATTTTCGGGCACATTGTTAAAATCCGTGACCCACTTTGCTAACCATATATCTGACAAATTACGTGATATTTGCATCAAAACAACAAATAAGATAACACTAAAAGCTAACGACCCTTTCATAGCATTCCAATATATTATTAAAACATTAGTATTTATATAACCTTGTTCTTTTGATTCCTACCAAATGAAATAAAAAAAATGGTAAATTGTAAAGAATAATATTATATATTTACCTCTAGCATTATGCTGTCAACACTTTTATTGTCCGATTCAAGATTATCTAAATCAATACTGGAAAGTCGACTACTACGATCTAATTCTTCTAATGTACTTGTTAAATCATCTTCTTCGCTCATTTCAAAACTATCCGACATTAAATCACTTTTTCTTAACTCACCATTATCCATTTTTAAAATTTGGTTTGCATGTAGAAAAAGTGTTGAATTTTCTGTTATTACAATTCTAGTTTTGTGTTTCAGTAATCCCAATATACAATACTTTATTATATGGTTTGCAACATGTGCATCAACTGATGAAAGGATGTCATCAAGCAAATATACTAAAATTTCAAAATTTTTTGTTTTGTTTTAAATTGTCTTTCGTTTCAACTAGAAACGAATACTTACTGCTTTTATCCTGGTAAACGGCTCTTGCTAAAGAAATTCTCATGCGCTGTCCTCCTGAGAGAGTATGGCCATTCTCTCCAATACCTACTTGATCTCCTCCTAACGACAGAAGGTCTTCGGTCAATGCGCAAGAATATACAACTTTTTTATATCTTTGTTCATCATAAACGGCTCCCCATATTATGTTTTCTCTAATTGTACCTCTTTGAAGCCAGGGTAGTTGGGGTACATATCCAAAACCTGTTACAAAAGAGATATGTCATAGTATTAAATTTTTATTTCAATGTTGCGTTAGTTTACCAGTATACAAATCTTGTACTGCTACACTACCGTTAGTAAACTTCATTTTAGCAATAATAGCAGAAATTAGAGTACTTTTTCCACTTCCCACTGATCCTTCTATACAAACTAGCTCACCCTATAGTTATTTTGCAAAACGATTATAAAACAGTATTAAAATATTTTTAAAATTCTAGACATAAAACTTAGACAATTCTATAGTGCATTTATGTACTTTTTATTATTCCCAGTAATTTTTAGGTCTTTTTTAAATTAATTAATTGCCGTGTCTATATATTGCTCAAAATTTTATTTAAGTTGTATTTGATTATAGCTCAACATTATGATATTATGATATTTTTATGGTTGCAAAATTGCCTAAGTTTTATTCCAAGATATTAACATGTAAGTGATCATATTCTAAACTGCAGGCCGTACAAATGGGGAAACAGGACAACGCCGCCACATATAAGAATCTGTATAAACTCTCTTAACTATTTTCTTTACCAATTTATCTCTAGAGTCAAGCGAACGTCTTTAAACCACCACTCACAATAGTGTCCCTGTTGATAACTAACCGATGATCGCTTCTGACAGTCGTGTTAGTTTTTACTGAATCAAAACTCCCATCTCCTCTTTTTTTGTAGCCCTTCTTTGTTTTTGGTTGATGGAAGTAATTTTCCAGTATATCTTCTACAGACCTTTACAAGTTTGCTAGCTCCCTCACGTGATTTTCTCAGTTCCCAGGAATAAAGATTTGAGATTCCCCATATTGTAACGGTGTAGTCCGTCCCGCATAAGTTAGTAAGTTCAAAATATCCCCCTATGTTATCAGGTATCACGGTAAATCCTTCCGTGGCAGCTTGTGTACCCTGTTAGTTAGAAAATATTTTAAAATTTTGCACGACCCTCTACCTTGGCAAAAAATTTAAAATTTTTTAAAATTTTCCACGACCGCCTACCTTGGCGAAAAATTGAAAATTTTTTAAAATTTTGCACGACCCCTACCTTGGCAAAAAATTGAAAATTTTTTAAAATTTTGCACGACCCCCTACCTTGGAAAAAATTGAAAATTTTTTTAAATTTTGCACGACCCCCTACCTTGGCAAAAAATTGAAAATTTTTTAAAATTTTCCACGACCCCCTACCTTGACAAAAAATTGAAAATTTTTTAAAATTTTCCACGACCTTGACAAAAAATTGAAAATTTTTTAAAATTTTCAACGACCCCCTACCTTGGCAAAAAATTGAAAATTTTTTAAAATTTTGCACGACCCCCTACCTTGGCGAAAAATTGAAAATTTTTTTAAATTTTGCACGACCTTGGCAAAAAATTGAAAATTTTTTAAAATTTTGCACGACCCCCTACCTTGGCAAAAAATTGAAAATTTTTTTAAATTTTGCACGACCCACTACCTTGGCGAAAAATTGAAAATTTTTTTAAATTTTGCACGACCCACTACCTTGGCGAAAAATTGAAAATTTTTTTAAATTTTGCACGACCCCCTACCTTGGCGAAAAATTGAAAATTTTTTTAAATTTTGCACGACCCCCTACCTTGGCGAAAAATTGAAAATTTTTTTAAATTTTGCACGACCCACTACCTTGGCGAAAAATTGAAAATTTTTTTAAATTTTGCACGACCCACTACCTTGGCGAAAAATTGAAAATTTTTTTAAATTTTGCACGACCCCCTACCTTGGCGAAAAATTGAAAATTTTTTTAAATTTTGCACGACCTACCTTGGCAAAAAATTGAAAATTTTTTTAAATTTTGCACGACCCACTACCTTGGAGAAAAATTGAAAATTATTTAAAATTTTCCACGACCCCCTACCTTGGCAAAAAATTGAAAATTTTTTAAAATTTTGCACGACCCCCTACCTTGGCAAAAAATTAAAAATTTTTTAAAATTTTGCACGACCCCCTACCTTGGCAAAAAATTGAAAATTTTTTAAAATTTTGCACGACCACCTACCTTGGCGAAAAATTGAAAATTTTTTTAAATTTTGCATGACCTTGGCAAAAAATTGAAAATTTTTTAAAATTTTGCACGACCCCCTACCTTGGCAAAAAATTGAAAATTTTTTTAAATTTTGCACGACCCACTACCTTGGCGAAAAATTGAAAATTTTTTTAAATTTTGCACGACCCACTACCTTGGCGAAAAATTGAAAATTTTTTTAAATTTTGCACGACCCCCTACCTTGGCGAAAAATTGAAAATTTTTTTAAATTTTGCACGACCTACCTTGGCAAAAAATTGAAAATTTTTTTAAATTTTGCACGACCCACTACCTTGGAGAAAAATTGAAAATTATTTAAAATTTTCCACGACCCCCTACCTTGGCAAAAAATTGAAAATTTTTTAAAATTTTGCACGACCCCCTACCTTGGCAAAAAATTAAAAATTTTTTAAAATTTTGCACGACCCCCTACCTTGGCAAAAAATTGAAAATTTTTTAAAATTTTGCACGACCACCTACCTTGGCGAAAAATTGAAAATTTTTTTAAATTTTGCATGACCTTGGCAAAAAATTGAAAATTTTTTAAAATTTTGCACGACCCCCTACCTTGGCAAAAAATTGAAAATTTTTTTAAATTTTGCACGACCCACTACCTTGGCGAAAAATTGAAAATTTTTTTAAATTTTGCACGACCCACTACCTTGGCGAAAAATTGAAAATTTTTTTAAATTTTGCACGACCCCCTACCTTGGCAAAAAATTGAAAATTTTTTAAAATTTTGCACGACCCCCTACCTTGGCGAAAAATTGAAAATTTTTTTAAATTTTGCACGACCTACCTTGGCAAAAAATTGAAAATTTTTTTAAATTTTGCACGACCCACTACCTTGGAGAAAAATTGAAAATTATTTAAAATTTTCCACGACCCCCTACCTTGGCAAAAAATTGAAAATTTTTTAAAATTTTGCACGACCCCCTACCTTGGCAAAAAATTAAAAATTTTTTAAAATTTTCCACGACCCCCTACCTTGGCAAAAAATTGAAAATATTTTAAAATTTTGCACGACCTTGGCGAAAAATTGAAAATTTTTTAAAATTTTGCACGACCACCTACCTTGACAAAAAATTGAAAATTTTTTAAAATTTTCCACGACCTTGGCAAAAAATTGAAATTTTTTTAAAATTTTCCACGACCCCCCCTACCTTGACAAAAAAATTAAAATTTTTTAAAATTTTGCACGACCCACTACCTTGGCGAAAAATTGAAAATTTTTTTAAATTTTGCACGACCCCCTACCTTGGCAAAAAATTGAAAATATTTTAAAATTTTGCACGACCCCCTACCTTGGCAAAAAATTGAAAATTTTTTAAAATTTTGCACGACCCCCTACCTTGGCAAAAAATTGAAAATATTTTAAAATTTTGCACGACCCCCTACCTTGGCGAAAAATTGAAAATTTTTTAAAATTTTGCACGACCCCCTACCTTGGCAAAAAATTGAAAATTTTTTAAAATTTTGCACGACCTACCTTGGCAAAAAATTGAAAATTTTTTTAAATTTTGCACGACCCACTACCTTGGAGAAAAATTGAAAATTATTTAAAATTTTCCACGACCCCCTACCTTGGCAAAAAATTGAAAATTTTTTAAAATTTTGCACGACCCCCTACCTTGGCAAAAAATTAAAAATTTTTTAAAATTTTGCACGATCCCCTACCTTGGCGAAAAATTGAAAATTTTTTAAAATTTTGCACGACCCCCTACCTTGACAAAAAATTGAAAATTTTTTAAAATTTTCCACGACCTTGACAAAAAATTGAAAATTTTTTAAAATTTTCCACGACCCCCTACCTTGGCAAAAAAAATAAAATTTTTTAAAATTTTGCACGACCCCCTACCTTGGCAAAAAATTGAAAATTTTTTAAAATTTTGCACGACCCACTACCTTGGCGAAAAATTGAAAATTTTTTTAAATTTTGCACGACCCCCTACCTTGGCAAAAAATTGAAAATTTTTTAAAATTTTGCACGACCCCCTACCTTGGCAAAAAATTGAAAATTTTTTTAAATTTTGCACGACCCCCTACCTTGGCAAAAAACTGAAAATTTTTTAAAATTTTGCGCGACCCCTTACCTTGGCAAAAAATTGAAAATTTTTTAAAATTTTCCACAACCCCCTACCTTGGCGAAAAATTGAAAATTTTTTAAAATTTTGCACGACCCCCTACCTTGGCAAAAAATTGAAAATTTTTTAAAATTTTGCACGACCCCTTACCTTGGCAAAAAATTGAAAATTTTTTAAAATTTTGCACGACCTTGGCAAAAAATTGAAAATTTTTTAAAATTTTGCACGACCCCCTACCTTGACAAAAAATTGAAAATTTTTTAAAATTTTCCACGACCTTGGCAAAAAATTGAAAATTTTTTTAAATTTTGCACGACCCACTACCTTGGCGAAAAATTGAAAATTTTTTTAAATTTTGCACGACCCACTACCTTGGCGAAAAATTGAAAATTTTTTTAAATTTTGCACGACCCCCTACCTTGGCAAAAAATTGAAAATTTTTTAAAATTTTGCACGACCCCCTACCTTGGCGAAAAATTGAAAATTTTTTAAAATTTTGCACGAAACCCTACCTTGGCAAAAAATTGAAAATTTTTTAAAATTTTGCACGACCCCTTACCTTGGCAAAAAATTGAAAATTTTTTAAAATTTTGCACGACCTTGGCAAAAAATTGAAAATTTTTTAAAATTTTGCACGACCTTGGCAAAAAACTGAAAATTTTTTAAAATTTTCAACGACCCCTTACCTTGGCAAAAAATTGAAAATTTTTTAAAATTTTCCACAACCCCCTACCTTGGCGAAAAATTGAAAATTTTTTAAAATTTTGCACGACCCCCTACCTTGGCAAAAAATTGAAAATTTTTTAAAATTTTGCACGACCCCTTACCTTGGCAAAAAATTGAAAATTTTTTAAAATTTTGCACGACCTTGGCAAAAAATTGAAAATTTTTTAAAATTTTGCACGACCCCCTACCTTGACAAAAAATTGAAAATTTTTTAAAATTTTCCACGACCTTGGCAAAAAATTGAAAATTTTTTTAAATTTTGCACGACCCACTACCTTGGCGAAAAATTGAAAATTTTTTTAAATTTTGCACGACCCACTACCTT